TGGTAGAACGCATATAAAAAATCCATTGAGGATTTCGAGCTGATAAAAAGTTTAAAGTTGTATAAGTGAGCAAAATTCATCAATTTACCTGTCATTAAGGACAAGCATCACGTCGCCCTTTCGAAGCGAAATTTCTTCATCTGTCCGAGCGTTGTAGTCAAATATCGCCACAAGACGGTTTGTTAACTCAGGTGACGCTGAGCCTTGCTCATTTGCGGATAACCCACACAATCGCTGAGCATGGTAGACGTCAATAGACGCCCCAGTACTGGCTCTCTGAAATCGCTCATTCAAATGCTGAAATTCGTGTTGATTTTGAGAGGACTTTTTCAGGGCGTTTTTCTTTTTAATGTCGGCGACACTATCTACCTCTGACGCCAGTGAGACCAGCACAGCAGGTGAGTATGAGATAAGGGCCTTGGACCCGGCCACGCCGGAGCGAGGAAGAGAGTGGGAACGAGAACAAGACCCAGAGGACAGTGCTGCAGATACCCGCTGAGCCATAGAGACAATGGCAGGTGGACACTGACTAAAGGGAACTGGTACGCATGTGTTACATGCCGTCAGGGACTGGCGATTAGGGGAAAATGAGATGGGAGAATCGTGGTGGGAAAAGTTAATAACAGGGTCGTGGGATTCAGTTTGGGTGCATGGCGCGGAGAAGATCCGGCTGTTTTTCATGGGCGGAGTGTTAGAAAATAAAAAGCGACAAGTCTCTGCGTCCGTTGAAGGAATCCTTTCTTCTTCCACCCGTCGTCGGTCGAATGATGATGAATTGTGCTGTTGTGGCACGGGAAGGGGTTGGCTAATGGAAACGTGTTTCTCTTCTTCCACGTCTTCAGTGTTTTTTGTATTGAAATTCCTGTTCATGCAGTTGCCCATAATTATTAAATAACGAGAAAGACGAAGTGCATGTTATAAGTGAGGCACTTCTCCAAAGTGAATATCACACGCGAGAACTCGCACTCAGGCATAACCGCCGTCAAAAGGATCCCAAGGCCATTGTCTTTATAAACGCGCATAGTCAGGATATCAATTAAAACAAAGGATTATATTTGTTTTTTTTAAATTTACACTATCATTCATTTTGCAAATGGTGAAATCGCCTTTGGTGTTGATCAATCGTACCTTGAACATAATAGTCTTAGTAATATCACAAAAACGTTATCAAAAGTACTAATAGTTTAATTGCAATAATCCGGTAATTTTTCGCTTAAATTAAGGTAGAGATTGATGGCCGTTTAATTAACACATGAACATATACGTTCTATATATTTCATCCATAATGCATCTTTAAAGGACGTCACATTGTAGTTATAACTACAGCCAATCTCGGTTAAAATGTATCCGCATAATATTACAATAAACCCACTTAGAGGGCACCACGGTATCCGCTAAAAAAACCCTGGACAAATACGACGCCAACATTTAAGCCTGTTGTGGGTCTTCAAATTAATCCGATGGGTACATTCACCTCAAGACCAAAAATGCATCGAATATTTATTAATTAGTCTACGATCGAAGTCCAGGCACATGGCGCAATACATAGAGATGAGCGAAACGAAGTTTCTTCCTATATTACTTGACAAGAAGAATAAATGCGGTTTTATTGTCTGTTTTAAAAATGTTCTGGTTCTTTGCTTCGATATTCACTAGGGAAACCGAGCTTCAATTTGACAATGTCAACGATACTGTTGCAGACGCTGGTCCAGCGCTTCAATCTTTATTATTCCAAACATCCGTAGTTGAAAGTGAACTGCAAAGCCTCAAAGGAGCAAATTTATCCGGCCCAGACAATATACCGGCCAAGTTGTTGAAATAATTGGCAAGTGAGCTCTCAAAGCCCCTAACACATGTCTTTCGTTCTTCGCTTGAATTAGGAAGATTGCCATCTGATTGGAAAACAGCAAATATTTACCTGATATATGTACAAGGGCCGGCCCGAACGAAGGTGAACAATTATCGGCCCGTTAGCCTTACTTGCATTTGCTCTAAGGTGGTGCGAACGATAAACAAGAAAGCGACAATGCAGTTCCTGGATGAGAAAAACTTACTCTCAGGGCTCCAGCGTGGTTTCAGACTGAACCACTCTTCTCTTTCCAGGCTATTGCTCTCGACTGAGCAGTGGACTTGCGCACTGGATTAAGATGATAAGTTCGACGTCATCTAAATGCATTTCAAGAAAGCGTTCGGCAGCGTCCCACATGAACATCTGATGTATAAATTATCGGAAATTTAAATAAAAGGAAAGCTGCTGGCACGGGTCACAAATTTTCTCACAGGGTGATCGCGAACAGTGTGTATCGGTGACTCGAAGTCAATTCCCACATCTGTTCTATGTGGCGTCCACCAAGGCTCTGTCTTAGGCCCGATGCTCTTCCTGATCTATATCAACGACAGTGTCGATGACGAAAAAGAAGATGCGATCACTGGAACAAGGACTTTATTTTCCTGACGGTTCGGATT